GAATTTAGAAGTTTAGATAAAAAGTATTTATTAAAGTTTTCATAGGTTTGTTTTAACGCCAGTTTGTGTTACCTAACTATGTAACTTAATTCATTCTAATTAAAGAGAGCCACGGATTTGCCAATAACAGGCCCTTAAAATGTTTGCTATAGATCGACTAAAATGTACATTAATTGGATTGGATACACTTAAATCCAATTTAGATCAGTCTTAATATTTTTTAAGATTTTAAATAGCAGAGATGGACTTAAGGGGGAGGGGTGGTAAAAAAAAGAAAAAATAAAGAAAAAATAAAAATTGACAGCCCAAATGCATCAGGTTATTTTAGGGCGTCAAGAAAAGACAAATTTCCTCTAAGATGGTGTTTTCTCGATCCACTTTCGCCCCCTCCCCTTCTCCCCTTTTTTCCGGCCCCGGTCCTCCCCTTTTCGGACATCTCTGGATTTCCCCCTGAATTGGCCTGCATGCCAGAAGCTAAAGAACATAGGCTATTTATTTTTAACATTGTTCTGTGTATATCATTTGAATTTATTCAATTTCAAACGAATGAGCGCTGATTTTGGTATAAATTTTGTAGTATTTCAAACGAATGTACCCCGCACTGTAGTCTTCTAATCGGATTAAAATCTGGCCGAATTTTGGCCGATATCGAAAAAAAGTTTGGCCGAATTTGGCCGTGAGATGGCGTGTGTTTGGCCGTGAAGCCTGTCGACTATCTGGCAACCCTGATCGAATACATTGCGGTTAGCGCTCTAGTATTCTTATTATACCTCTATGGTCTTGGATCAACTCTTGTGAATTCGCAGGCGAAGCCTCCGCGACCACCGCGCACCGCGTCGAAGTTCGAACAATTGGCGTTCGCGTGTTACTACAAATTCGTTTGCATGTTCACATTGGCTATGTTCTCACACGGCAGCTAACGGTTTGCAGGATCCGGATCCCGATCCGGATACCAACAATATGATGATCGAATCACTGGCCAATAACAATCTGGAAAATATAAACGTGTACGTGTGATTGGTTTATGATAGAAACGCCCTCAACTTGCTAACCGATAGCGCTTGCTAACCGTTAGCGTATCCGGATACCGCTAACGGTTAGCGCTAATTCCGATCGGGCGTTCTCACGCAGGTGCTAACGGTTAGCGCTAACGGTTAGCTCCCGATCCGGATACTAGGGATCTCGTGAGAACCAGGCTATTGGAAACGCAAGTCGCGTCTTCGATTTAGTAGCGCGCGCCCGGATTTCGACGCGAAATTCGCTTGATCGTGTTCAGTGGGAACCGGCCTTAAAGCAGCAATCGAAGTTAAAGTAAATAGCGCCACACTTCATAGCCTGACGCAATAGGATATTTATAGACAGGAAAAAATTCCGACAAGATCAATTCTATAGTACTCTTAGTAGACCGTGGGTTGAGGATCGAAAACGTTCAATTCTGTAACCCACCAATCCGGGCTACCTGGCTTTTGCACAAAAATGTCAATACTATTAAATTGTAACATAATTTGATTGTCGGCAATCGTGAATGGGGAAACTGTAACCAAAAATGAGAATTTATATCAAAAAGTTGCTACTTAACTATAGCCAATCAGAAGACGACTAACAATGACGTTTGGCTTAGCTGCAAGGCCCTCAGCCAATCACAAACTACCTTCTATGCCATTTGTCCAATGTAAATAGTAAACAACACACTCCACTTGCAAGTATGGCGTTGGCCAGAAGTTCTTCAAATGATAAATCTGAGCCGGTTTCAGGCATGTTTTTGTGATACATGTTGTAAGAACCTAGAGTATGGTTGTGTCATTATGCGTAAACAGCTTAAAAGAAATTTAAGGATGTGCAACTCTGTGGAAAACAACAAATACGAGTCCTCAGTTAAGGCCTATTAAGTTTCCGTCGAAGCTGATGAATAGCCTACATATATAACGAAGGGGATCTCAGGGATGGTGGTGCAAGTAGTAGTAGTCAAAATTGCACCGAATCTGTTTAAAGGTACGTGTGTGGTTACATCATGGACCTATTAATTAATAGGTCCATGGTTACATATAACGTTAAAATGGTATAAGCACTAAGCGTCTCTCTATCACACCACACACACACAGACAGGAAGCCCTGCCTTTTCCTCAAACTGGGGTACTATCGACAGCAAAATAACCACAGAGTATTGTGAATCAAATTCGATGATGTTATATTGTAATAAGCATATTGAGACAATAATGTTGGCAATGAATCGACCCAGCATAAACAACTGACCATGAAGACAAATCAAGAATAGCCATCCACAATTATATAGCAACTATTTACTACCTGTCTCTTATACACATCTAGATGTGTATAAGAGACAGACATTTGATTTTGCAAAAATGGCAAAGTAGGTCTAATCTGGGTAGTAAAAAATATGAAAATGTTTTCATTTCATTAGGTAGCGACACAATTAGAGAAGCAGAATTTTTTTACGTTGTATTTATGCATGAATAAAAATACCCCATGAACACGATATATTTTCTTACACTATAAAAATTATACAAACAGTGATGCAAATTTTCAAATAGATAATTTAATTTTTCAGCAATTTAATAAAGCTAATTTTAATATAAAAGAATATACCAAGAGTGTAAGCCAATAGCATGTAGCCAAGACTAACTAGACATCGCTTGCAAGTGCAAGCATAGAAAAGGTTTAGTATTGACTCGAGGTTAATATAAAAAAAAACAAAGTTGACCATAAAGTTCTTTTTTAAGAAATTAAAGAAATACCTTGTTGTGACTAAGTTATTATAAACACAAAATTTTGTAAAAAAAAAAGTTATGTCTTGCAATTAGTCATGATTGCAATGCCAACCGGATTTTCATTAATTTTTAATTTTGCATAAATACTCACCCTCACGATTTTCCTCAACAATTTCCTGGGACGCCAACTGTACAAGTTCCTTTATTTTTGGATTTTGATGTTGGTGTTTAGCAATTAAGAAAAGTTTTTCATTGTATTTCTGAATTCCCGATTTCAGTTTTTTGGGAAGAGCTTCCAGCGAAATTCGTCTGAATTCCTTAAGTACCTGTGAAAAAATTGTTTAGTAAATTTTTAGTATTATTATTAATTGTTTTTGGTCTTTACACACATATTGACAATAAATACAGGAAAAAACATTAATATTGTACATTTCTGCCATTATTACTTCTATGCCTAGATACGCCTAGGCCTAAGTCTAGGACTATTCTGACTTTTTCCTAACCTTTCTGGCCTAGGCCCCTAGGACTAGTATAGTGCGAACACACGGCCCAGCAGGGAGTGCAGCAATTGACAGGTCAGCAAGACATAGCAGGAGGAGGATGCTCCTGCTGTGTGTGGCTGGCTCTGATCAAGGCCTAATTATCTTTCATACTGCTGCTAAACTAGGCATAGGCCTAACCTACAGTTATCTGATGACTTTCAAACATATTATTTGTACAAATATGATCATATAAAGTTAAAATAATGTTTACCTGTTAGTTAAAAGGCCGTTTTAAATGAAAATGCTAGCTAGCTGACAGTCCGGAGATGAAAAGAGCGGGGAAAAAATACGGTTGCACATGCGCACGTTATTCGTGATAACTTGTCATCTGAAGTACTAACTTGTCAGTGTGACGCAAGCAACTTGTAATTTTCCAATGACAAGACAGGTTCTTGTCATACTGACAAGAAGTTAGGAATGTATGTTTTCAGTGTGGGATGCAACTGGCTGAACTGAGGTATATTAAAATATATTTGTTTCACCTTATTGGAATCATCAATTATTGCTTTACTTTTATTCATTAATTCCGTCCATATTACCAAGGTCTTCAAGCAGTTAAACAAAAATCAACAGGCATGGCAAGAAATACTGATTAATGTTATTTATTTACATTGCATGCAAATAAAAACATTTTGAAATTTTACATCAGGCTCAATGTGTTCTTATTTTTTGAAGTAATTCAGCCTCAGTTTTCTTTTAAAATGTACATTTTTTTAATTATAGAAAAAAAATCGATTCCAAATAGATTCAAAATATATTATATATTTACAGGAATTTCCTGTCTCATTCAAAGTCGATGAACATTACTTACTTGCCCTTCCTACTAGTACTATGCATTCACATACACATGTACACATTCAGTACAGCACGGTCGACTTTGGCTTAAAAACAGTCGACAGAAGACGGGAAATGCAATTTACTACCTCTAAAATCTTACAACTATTACCAATGTATTTTATTTAAAGGCTGGTATACTTATATCATATATTGAAATATTCCACTAAAACCGGAGAACTTTCGTCCAAATTGCTACACATTGTCACTTTCCTCGCGACAATGTTTACATTAGTTACCGAGTTTACAAGAACGTTTGTGATTGGCTAATAGCGTCTCATCAATGCTTAACAGGTATGGTAAGTGTGCTGTGATTGGGTACTGCTTTCGTGAACGAC